CTAAAATGTACTTTGTCAAATAGGAATATCAGGACCTCAATTTTGCTGTTACGAAAGAAGACACTGTACCTTCAGATAGAACTTGGAGATCTCAAAGAGACGTTGGCTGCATGCAGTGAAACATCCATGAGCTTCAGTAATGCTGTGTTTCTTCAGGGTTTCCGTAACTACCTCTTTCAGTATCTTGAATAGAACATAACATATGACTAATATTTCTTGGAAAAGGTACAAATGTATTGCTTCTTTAGATTTGTGTGAATTACACACTCCTGTAACTCTGTGAAAGATAAGTTTATCGAGACAAAACAACTGGGAAAAAAAGAGGTCTGGAATATTTATATGGTCACACATATCATAAGATATCTGTCAGGAATAAATGACTGGAGTATATTAAGAGGAATTCATATCATGAATTCTCAAACAAAATCTGAGTGTAAAGGCTACATACAGTAGAGATGTACATAAGTGTATTTATTTTTTATTATGGAACATTTCAAACACTGAAAAGTAGAACATTTTATAATGAATCCTTATTTCAATATATCAGTTTCAATAAGGATCAATTTGTGGCTAATTTCATTTATACCTCTGCCCACTTATCCATTATCTTTCTTATGTTGGATTATTTTAAAGTACATTACAGATGCCATGTTATTCCATTCATAAAATTTTTAGACATACATTTTAAATGAACTAAGTACAGGAATTTCTTCCATGTAGAACTAAGAGACAGGAAAGAAATCTTTACCCGTGTGTGTTTCTGTGATCTTGATTCCTTAATTTGCCTTGATGTTTTTGATCCATGCACACTTTTTTGACCACAACTGGCTTTTGTAGTGACTTTTGAAGTTTCATTGCTAAGAACTGGAACAGATGGACAGGTCACAGATAATGATCGCTCTGCTCGTGGTTTTCTGGACGTCACTGCATGATGATGAGGATTAGTGCTGCCACTTGTCTGAGAAAGAAGAGAATCTGAACTTTCAGACTTCACAAGTCTATTGTGGAGAAATATATCAAAAACACAAATGAAGTAAATCAACAATGAGGCCCATTTTCTGTCCTAAATGTGACAACTATAGCCACTGAAACATAAACCTAAGAAAAGCAAACAAGATTTCTTGCTGCTACTGCCTTAAGTAACTGACAACTATACAGTTGCTCTCTTAGTTCTTCAAATGAGTGACTAAAACATACAAAGCAAGGAACAACAAACGAGAATTTCAGCTAGGAGGAAAAGCAACGAGGAGTATGCTATTGCCAGCCCTGTCAATCTACAACTTCTCACCTCAATCAGCTCTGGAACTCCAGGTGGTGATATTTGTAAATTTAATAATCAGCATAAGTACTTATGCTTTTCTATAAAGATAATTTTGACTAAGAAACCATAACCTATACTTATTGTACCCATGCAATTACCTGGGCAAAATAAGTGTTAAATACAAATGAAACTAAAATTGGATCATGGTTCCATCTCTCTAAAATGCTTAAATTTCCTTTTACAAGATAGGGTCTCATATCCTTCAATTCCGCTAAGCCACAGACCACAGTGTTCTTTCTTTTCCAGAACACATTATCTTATTATTAGTCTCAAGTCAGAATAAAAAACATTGCTACAAAATACAGTATAGGAAATGTTAACAGATTTGCTTTTTAGGTTTATCATGTGTAAAAAGTACCATGAATTTATAAAGTCCTCATAAAAATAATTTAGTTATTACATGGGCATCTGAGTGGCTCAGTTGGTTAAGCATCTGACTTCAGTTCAGGTCATGATCTCAAGGTTCGTGGGTTCCAGCCCCACATCGTATTCTGTGCTGACAGCTCAGAGCCTGGAGCCTGCTTCAGATTTTGTGTGTGTGTGTCTCTCTCTCTGCCCCTCCCCCTCTCATGCTCTGTCTTCTCTCTCAAAAATAAATAACATTAGAAAAATTTTTTTAATTAAAAAATGATAATTTGGTTATTCCATATCAGAGAAATCGTATTCTAATATTTCTAACTGCTCCAAAAAAAAAAAAGATCTGAAAGTCTCACTTTAACATATTTCCTAATTTTTGAAAGATTTACATACATACGATAAAAATTTAAAGCTTGCTGTAGATGCCAAAGACCTAAATTTGACAAAGGTACTAAAGACCTACGAATCCAACAGAATTCAGAGTGTTTACGAAAACTTCTGTTCCAGTATTTGGACATTTTCCTTAGCTAGCAAAAAAAGGGTCTGGAAAAGTTTCGTATAATATTATGTAGTGTTTTAAGCTATATTTTACGTGAAACAATGGAAGTCCCTGTTGAAGGGGCCGGGGCAGGCAGAAAGCAGTGGGAGGAGGCAGGCAGACAGTAGGAAAGCTGCCATCCCCAAACCCCCTCTTCCACAAAGCAGTTCTGCTGCTTCTGGGTAATAGGAAGGACTAATATGGCTCAGTCAGTTGAGCATCCAACTCTTCGGTTCAGGTCATGATCCTGGAGCTGCGGGATGGAGCTGAGCCCTGTGTCTGGCTCCACACTGAGTATGGAACTTGCTTGGGATCCTCTCTCTCTCTCTCACCCCCCCCTCCCTCTGCCCCCCTTCCCCGCTCACACTCTTGCTCTCTCTGTCAAAAAAATTTTTTAAAAATAAAGGTCAAATAAATAAATAAATAAATAAAAGAGTACTCTAGGCACTAATACTTTCTGTCAAGAGACTATTTTTATGTACTTAACATATCACCTTTTGGGGGGATAAAGGCAATTTAGATCTTTTGATCTCCTTTTCAATCGAGACACTTCAGTTCGGAGCTCACTTTGTGGAGCTTCTCCGTCAGGGATGCTTCCAGGCTCTGACAAGACTGCAGGTGATGGAAGAGGGCTCAACACCGTGGGCACCGGAAAACCCTCTCTGGTGCAGGTGGTCTGGGTTTCATAACGAATAAGACGAGACTGAAGTTCAGAAAATCCCCCGTCTCTTTCTAGTGCTTTTCGGTCATCCAAGCAATATCTGAACAAGAGAAAGACCATTAAAATCACAGTCTCCAGGACGGCAACGGCCTTTCCCTGCCAATTAGGAAACGGCGGAACATTCACTTGAAAACCTCTTACTTTAAATTCCTAATAATTGTTGAGCAAACGGCCGACTTCCCTCACAAGTTCAGTTTTTTCTAGTCTGCTAGATGACGTGGCAAAAGATTAAAAATTTTGAAGTACGATCTGATTCCTCTTTGACTATTTCTGGGCAACAGATTAAGCTAATCCTCTGGCTTATTTTCAAAATAATAGAGTTGCTGTCTTAATACTCTTTAAATCTCTACCAACCTCTGATTCCTCAGTATGGTTGATATGTAACAACATGAAATGCTGACTTTTGTTAGAAAGGGCAAGTTTATTTTCAACACAAAGATGAAAAGGGTATAAAGGTATTCTAACTGGCTCACCAAACACAGCTCAGAACATTTAAAATTTTTCTTTGAAACTCACTTCCCCCCTTTACTGCTGATTGACAGATTTTTCTTCAAACAACTTCAACTGTCCCCGTGCATCTGGTTTCTAGCCAAATCTGATTCAAGGAATCAATGAGAAGTTAGCTCAGTGAATGCTTCTGGACATAAAGAAATTACATGTTGTTAAGTACAACAAATAAGCATATCGGGAGAATCACCTATGAGGCATGCGGCCTTGAAATACTCTTTCTTCCCTTTCTCCCCTGCTACAGCCGCATCAGGGAAACACAAATGGCTTCACATACATGATGGGTGGACCATAAAAATTAAAACCTTTCTTTACAATCCGTCCTCTTGGCTTATAAAATTCTAAGACGTTCCCTAAAATCAGAACTTTGGGTCCATAAGCTTTTAGTTCAACTCCCAGGGAGTATATCATTACCCTAACATCTGATTGCCTGACAGAGGCTTTAAGGACTTTTTTCTATCCCTCGTGACACTTTCATATTTGATTTTGAAGAGCCGGACTCCCTGGATTTATTTAAATCTGGCTCCACCACTGATTAGCTGTTTGGACTGGGCCAAATTGCTTAACTTTTATCTATGCTTCTGCTGCCTCATTTGCAAAATGAGATTGACACCAGTCATCTCCAAGAGCCACTGTGAGGATTCCTTGAACAGGAACATGTAAGCACTCAGAATCAGTGCCTAGAACATGCAAGCAAAGCAGTGAATAAATGTAGGCTGCTCTTGCTCTTATCATCGTCATCAGCAGCAGCAGCAGCAGCAGCAGGTTTACTTTCTACCACAGCAGACCTTACAGTGTGCTGATAATATGCAGCCTCCCCAGGATTTCAGACCCCGGTTGGTGAGTTCAGAACCTGACCTTAACCAAGTTAGTGTAGTATCTTATGTAAGTTGGAAGAATCATCACGCCTGGGGATCGGTCAATCCATGGCTGACCATTAAAATCACCAGAAGAGCTTTTACGAGATAGATACCAGATCTACATGCCCAGGTTTCTGATTTAACTGGTCTGGGGTGAAACCCAGTCATGCGCGTTTTTTCAAAAGCCGTCCAGGTGACTGTAAGGCATAGCTAGGACCGAAAATCTCTGATCTAACCCAGTAGTTTGCTTTCACAGGGGAGAACACTGAGCTCCCAAGTCAGAATGTGAAGTTGGGGGCCCAACGGGTCTCTCGGTTCTGTAACATCTTTCTCCAGTCTCTTGTTTAATAAAACACATTTCATTAAAAGTCAGCAGTAACCCTAACGATCGCTGATGAGTCCTCTTTCTATTCTGGGCAACCGACAGAATCTAGAACAAAATTAAGAACCATGAGTGTTAAGAAAGGTTGTAGGCAAGAGGTAATGTAATGCCTGATGAGCCCAGAGAAAATTTTTGAGAAAAAAGATACAAATGAATATTTTTTTCTACTCTGAGATTTTAATTCTAACATGCAGATATTTTCCTTCCAGTTTTAACATCTCTTGATCACAGCTGTTCATAATGTCATTCCTTCAACTGAATTATGTGTACTGTGCCTGTGGACTGTGCCATTTAAAATGTCTTCAAATGATTATACAATGATCCGGTACTGAAACAAAAAGTACTTTGTAAATAAGAAAGGAACAGAAACAGAATAGCAGGGTGCACATTTGATATTAGTGAAGTGAATATTCAGAGTTGGATGAGTGACTTACACTTCTAATATTTTCTTGCAAAACCATAACCAAATGCTTTTATGCATCCAAAGAAAGAAAAATACCTCCAAGAAGACGAGGCTATTTTTGTTTGGTAACTACGTAACAGGCAAGGTACTGCCTAGCACACACCAAGCAATGTCAATGAAGGCAGGAGAAACTGCCAGATCTCTTGGGGTAGATGAAAGAAATCTGAAAGCAACAGGAGGCTGGTGTGGCCAACTGTCACAGTTTGACAGCAGAGTTTAATTTGTTGTTAAAGAAAACAGTGCATCTTACAATCAGTGGTACCTAACACTCCAGGATAAAATAGGTGAAAAAGCAGACAAATGAGCCAACAGAGGATATATTTCATTTGCCTTAAGAAAACATTGATTTGTACTTGAACAGTTTATATGTATTTTTTCCAAATATTCCTTATGTCTGGGTATAGAGGAGCTCAAGGAGTCTAAAAGTTTATAGCAACACGAGAAAGAGAGAACTCTCCTTTCAGCTTCATGTTTACGTTAAAATTCCACTGGAATTTTGTCCCAAGCAGATACATTACCCATGTTGAACAGAATAGCCCCCCACACTATATACCCAAATCTTCTGGATTCATTGTGCCCACCTCCTACAACAACTTCATTAGTGTGATCTCCATGTCCTCAGATTAAGGACCACAAATGTAAAGGAAACTGAGTCACAGAAAGATTTGTTTGTTTATGGGGGTGGGTAGCTCCCTATTGCTCGTTTTAAAGTCCTCAACTTCTTACTTCAACTGTTTTTCCACACACAGACAAAAGTGCAATGTTATTGCATGTAACACATGTTGTTTTTGTAGTATTGCTTTCCATACATACACCAGCTTTTTTATCCATTGTACTGCCCTACCCCTAGGCTGTTTCCAATCTGGGGCCATTACGGATAAAACTGCTCTGTACCATCTTGTTCAAGTCTTCCTGTGGAGTTGTGATTTCTTTCTCTTAGGAAAACGCCTAGTGTTGGAACTGCTGAGCCATAGGATCTGAGTGTGTTTAGTCTTATAACGAACCTGCCAGATCCTTCTCTGGAGTAGATCCATCATTTCATACCCCCACCAGCAACGTATGACAGTTCTGATTGTTCCATATACTTGTCAATATTCATCAGTCTTCTTTAATGTTAGCCACTTTGGTGGCTGCACAGAATTTTATTTTATGGATATACTATAATGTATTGAACCAAGCCCCTACAGTTAGACATTTCCAGTGTTTCTTGTTTTAAGTAACCTTGTGGAAAATACCCTTGCATAACAACTTTCAGTGTACATCACTTTTTTTTCCATTAGGCTAAATGAATCAACCTGATGTTATAAACATTTGCGTGGGTTTTGCTAAATTACTGAGCAGCCCTCCACACAGGGTGTAACAATTACACTTCTAGAAGCCGGCTTACTCCTTCCTGTTCCTTAACTACTACCGGGACTTTGTAAGTGAAAAGCACCCTCCCCGTTGTTTCTATTTACATTAAGGATGTAAATTGAAAAGCAAATAAGAGTTGATAAAAACAATTTGCCATGTGTATCAGTCATTTGTATTTCCTCTTTGATAAACACATAGCTCAAGATTTTGCCAGCTTTTCCACAGGGGCATTTATTTTATTTTCTCACTGGTTTGAAAGCATTCTGTAACCACAAAAGAAAATACCTTCTCATTTATGTTCAACAATATTTTCCTCAGTTTAATCCTCACTTTAAGGATTTCTTTTGTTTCTGTTGATTACTGACGCCACTGTTTTAAAATTCGGAGACATCATTCTTTTCTTTCTTAGAAGAATGAATAAAAAAGTCTTCCCTGTATTTAGGACAGATGTTCCCCTACATTTTATGCTAGTTCTTTCCTTTCACAATTTTTCACTTTTAATTCTGAATACATCTGGGATTTATTTTGATATTTGGTGTGAATTAAGAATCATTTTAAATTAATTTATTTTTATTTGTGTATTTAATCATGTTCTCACTATTATCTACTGAATATTTCACTTTTTGCTCTCTGATTTGAAATTCTTCCTCTATTAGATCAAATTCCAATGTGTACTTGCTTTTTTCCTTGGACTTCCTATTTAGGTCTAGCTTTACAATAAAATTTTCTGGTTATATGATAAAATGTATCTCATTCTTTAAATAAAAGGGAGGAGGCTTACCAGATAAATTAAAGAATTATTTCATCCAAAGGTTCAAGGTTAAGAATTATATTAAATATTTACATGTATTCCAGAAGAACTGATGCCTTTAGAATATGGAATCTGTGCATAGGGAAACAAGGATGTTTCCCCTAAGTAATCAACGTTGCTTTTAGGTCCCCTAGTATAGAGTATTTGCAATTTTTTCCATTCTATATGTCTTGCAAAAATACTTCTAATATTTATGGTTTTATTTGCTATTTTGAATGAGATCTTTTTTTGGAGTGTTTAAAATGGGAAATGGTTGGTTGAGAGGTAAACTAGACTTGTAAATGTTTCATCACTGGCCACTTTTCAAATTCTATCACTTCTAATAATTTTTCAGGTCTCTTCTCTGTCAAACAAAAAACAAAAACAAAAACTTCTTATGGCCTCCTTTTCAATACATACAACTTCTGTAACCTTTCTTGTTTTCCTTATTTTAATTGATTGGCCCAAACAATGGTTAAAACAGAAACATTCAGAACAATGGTTGACAGAGGAAAAAAAAAACCAGTGAGGGCGGTATCGTTTTCTGGCACCTGACTTTAATGGGGAGTTTAATTTTGATGCTTGAAAATAACTGGATATTTTGCCTCTAGTGTCAAACTTACATACATACTCTTTAAATGAAATAAATCTTATTCAAATATAGCATGGAACCTAAATATGCCTAGAATGACGTGTTGGGTAACCATCTGTATTTTCTCAGTTGCACCAACATCCTTCCAGTGTGTCTAAGCTAGAAACCCTAAAGAAATTCTTGTTATCTCCTTCCTTCTCATCCCCACCATCTACTTGGCCTAAAGTTCTTTAGAGAGCTTTAAGTTTGTAAATCTCCTTTCTATTTCCACTGCCTGGATAGTATTTTAGTCCTTCAACATCTCCTGCTTGAAATACTTCAACTCAATTTATCAAAAGCCAGTGAGATTTCTTCCAATGGCACAAACCCAAGCATATAACCTCGTGCTTTAAAAATAAAAATAAAGGTTTTTTACTCCTCAAAAGTAAACATCAACTTTCCTCCCATGTCACTAGTGACCTTCAGACGTCATGATTTGGTCTCATTACAGAACAATATGTTTATCTCTCTTAGTCAGAAACAAAAATGTGGTTTCACTTCCTAGAATCTGTACCTCTGCACTTTGCTGCTACCCAGACATTGCCTTTTTTGTCAGGTAATCTCCTATTCATTCTTTAAAATTTAGTTCAGATTTCCTCTTTGAAATACTCTCAAATACTTCCTGCCATTTATTTCTTCCATCCACTCAGCAGACATCTGTATTTTAACACTACTTATATTCTACTAACCTTACGTGTTTGTTTTCTTTCTCCTCTACAGAGTATATGCTTCTTAGGGAAATGATTATCTTTTGTATCTTTAGCCCCTGAGTGAATGACCTTCAGAAAAGTATTTTTAAAGTTTATGTGAAATAAACATTAAGTTTACAAGCCGGGGCACCTGGCTGGCTTAGTCGGGTAAGCGTCCAACTTTGGCTCAGGTCATGATCTTCCAGTTCGTGGGTTTGAGCCCTGCATAGCTTGCATTGGGCTCTGCTGACAGCTCAGAGTCTGGAGCCTCTTTCGGTTTCCCTGCCTCCCTCTTTCTCTGCCCCTCTCCCACTCACTGTCTCTCCCTTGCTCTCACACACACATTGAAAGAAAAAAAAAAAAAAAAAGTTTAGAAGCCAATCAAAATAGCATGCTTCAGGTGATCACTGATAAAGTTGCTTCTTAAACGTTAAGGTAAAATCAAGTCCTTATTCACTTATGGAAAACCAATAGAAAATAAGTTTTGCTTTATGCACGTAAAATATTTTGCAAAATGAATCATCAAGGCTTGAAAATTTATCATAAAATATTTTATCATCATTATTCCAGTTCTTGTTCTTGTGAAAATGGTAGATGTGCACATTAGCTCAGAAACTTTTAATACCTTTATGCAAAAGAATCCTTTGAAATTTTATTCGGACTGGTCAATTAAAATACTATAAAAATTTATACACAATTAATGTGTTACAAATGGGAACACATTTCATCTAATAGTTACTGAGCAATTACAATGTAATTAGTGAACAGGGAATATTAATGTGACCACTAGTATAAATACACATTTATAACACAGGGACCACAATAATTTTGATTAAAATATCTGGTAATTAATAACAGAATGTTTAAATGCTATAAAAACTGATTAATCATCACACATAACTTTTTTTTTTTTTACAATCGAAGACAATTTCTTAATTTGTGTATGCACTGTTTTGCTTTATAACGCTTTTTGATAGACTTTCTCTTTGACTCTGTATCTCAATTTATACCATTTTGGTACAGATACCTTTTACACTCACATAAGAAAAGCTTCATCAGCAACACACAGAAGAGTAAGGTGTAAATAAAAACTTACTCAATTCCATGATAATGACATACTGAGGCTTTTTCAAAAGGTAAACCCTGAAGTTTCCGAGGACTAAGTTCCGGTGTCAGAACAAAAGTCTTTTCCCTAAAACAAAAAGTTTTTCATTTGTATTTAACGTTTATTTAGTGACAAAGAGAAAGTTCAAGAAGGTACCTAAAGGAAGAAATCTGACTTCCTTCTCCATAATTGAATCTTCTATGGGATAAAGTGTAAGTAACATCAGAAAGCTTAAGAAGGAAATCAAACAAAGTTAAGCCTTAAGTGGGTTTGTCACTTGCATTTTCTGTGCCTCAAGTTTCTGAAGTCATGATGTTCTTTATTATTTACTTCACAAAACTATTTTGAGAAATGGATAAATCAAGAATGAAAAATGATTTATAGTGGAAATTTGAGAAGCTGCATTATTTCTGAAGGATTTTTTTTCCTGGTGTAGTCACCTAATGTTTATGCATTTAGTTAAATTCTTTTTTGTGGAGGAATAAAGTTAATTTGAAATTTTTGGTAACAAAGTATTTACTTCCTACTATAAGGGATCCAGATTTTTCTTTGCCTGGAAATGCAGTCATCTTGACACCTACTTTAAGAGTTAGCATCCTGTTAAATACCAGAGGATACAGAGACTGCTGACTTCAATTCTGCTTCTGAAGTAGTTTTTCAATCAGCAGGTAGGTGAGAACTAATCATATGGTGAGCTTACATAAAATATTCATGCTCAACCCCATCCACATGCAGACCTGCAGGGGTGTATCAAAATCTCAGGAAGAAAAAGGTCACTGCAATTAGGTTAAGCTCTTCTGATTATTCTGGTAGGTGCCCACTCCCACCAACCCCTGCTTCTCTGCCTGAGCTGAGAGGCACTGTTCCAATGCTCAGGATCATGTTCCTGATGGAGAATAGGTTATATGGGAATGGGAGAACAATGCAGTGGTGGCCTTTACATAGTCAATAGAATGAAAACTTGGAAATGGCACATAGAAAGGCAAGCAGGTTGTACAGTACCATAAATACTTGTGCTCTCTCACATTTCCCCCCCATGGCTTTAGTAATAAAAACTGCCCGCTTGCCACTGAAAATTACCTAGGTTGCTATTAATAAGCATTTGAAATTATTACATTAAAATGTAAGGCATATGCTAAGTAATGAGCCCTAAAAACAGAATTATATTCTAACGCGTCCATTTAAAGTGTTCCACAAAAAGTAACACTAATTAGTAACACTAATTTAATGACCCCAGTATTTTGATGACTCATTATTAAACGAATGACTTCTTGATATAAAACAATTCAGGCACCTAGCATTTCACTTCTTCCCTTTACCCATGTGTCTCATTTCTTATTTCAACCCTCTTAGCAACTTTATGTGTTTTTCTTTAATTTTACTCAGAACTTGTTCTTTCTAAAAGAAATGTTTCAATAAATATGTATTTTGTCAGTGTTTAATATTTCTTTGGTATACATACAGGAGTCATGCCTATACTTTAACATTTCAACAGCTCCTTGCATACGCAGACATTTTAGTAAGAATCCACAGGTTCTTGATTCATTGTTATGAAAGCTCATGGTTCGACTTTAACATTAATAGAAGATATATTGGATAATGATGTCATTCTAACACCGAGGAACCATATCAAATTTTCCTAAGTAAATTGCCCGAAAATTACCAAAAAAAAAAAAAAAAAAAAAAAAGTATATCTTCACTACAAGTATATCCTCCATCAGTGCATTTAGAAAGACATTCTGTTCAAAAGAGCAAAATCTGTATAATTCAGTTTTGGCAAATCCATCTGACTTTGTCAATTCACATTTAATGATCCGGAAGGACAATAATCCAATAGCTAAATAAATGAAAATGTGTATATAATTCTTCACTTTCTTGATTCCCATGAAAAAGATTATCAATCTCTCAAAGTTATGAGGAAGGAAAAATCACACAATTTTTACGTCACTAAGATCATTAAGTCATTAAGACCCAGAATTATTAAGATCCTCAAGTTTTCAAAGTTGTTCCTTTTCTCTCTCCCTCTCTCTCCCTCCCTGCCTCCCTCTCATGAACATGCACATAAAGGCAATGAGCTCCGGGATTATTTGTGAAATATAACCACCTTGAAAGAAATGCCTTCCAAAATTTACCTTTAAAATCAATATTTGCCAAAACAAGTTTTGTAAAAGTGATTAAAGTGATCTATAATTTTTAAGGTCCTCTGGGAGGTTTTCAAAATAATGGATTAACATTAAAAAGAAATCGGGATGGTGAACAAATGATTCAAATCTCATGAGTAACCGATGTCACAATTTTACCTATTCATTAAGTCAACTTTAGCAACATCCAGTATTATATTAACTAGTAACTTAATGGAAGTTGTCTTGGAAGTCAAATCAGTTATAAACTATTCATATAGACACTGAGTTCTTAGTAATATTACAGTTTCAAAAACATTTTTATTGTACTTTTCCATTCTCTGCAGTTGAAAGGCTGTGCTTTTTGCTAATATTGGGCATGACTGACAGTGTCATGACAGGTAATGGCAAAATCAAAACCAAAGAATAACGCAGATAAAAGAATTAAAACTTTTTTACAAGTCAAATTATAATTCTTTCTAAATAAGCATTGTCCTTTGTATACAAAGTAGAAGCTACTGACTTCTACAGGGAGTAAACAGAGGTTGCTTTCTTGTTTTCCCTATATTCAATACCACAAAACAGTAGCACACTGGCTAAGGTAAAATGTGAGGAACACTGGGATCATCCTTGAGAATTTTGCCTAAGCAGCAGAGGGCATCAACTGACTAAAGAAATGAGATGCAATGTGCTTTACAAATGATTTTTAAGAAGTTAACTGGCAATTACAAGTTTATAACTTACCCCTTTTGAATCTGTAAAGGTTGAAGATCTCCAACTGGTAATCCATCTGAAGTAAAGAATTTCAGCAATTCCTTAGCATCCAATAAGGTGACTGAATCCCGTGGACGCTCTTTGTGGCCCAGCAACTGTTCAGATGAACGAGGTAATGAGCCAGTTCTGAGAAATAGTGTTATGTAGATTAATTAAAAATGGATTAGAATTCACCGTAGTCAGGAAAAGGTGATGTGAGCAGAAACGAGAACAACAGACAAAGAAAACTACAGAATTATTATTTAGGAAAGAAAATAATGTAAAATCTTTGTGAATCATTTAGTATACAAGTATATTTTTAAAAACCTGTAGGTCACGGTGAAACTTGCAGTTACCACAGTAATAATGCTACTACTTAACTAATATAAACATTCTATTCTTTATAAGTGATGGCATGATTATTTAGGAGTGTGAAGTTATCAATTCTATAAAACTTAAATCTAAACTTTTTTGTACGTTCGGAAACCCCATAATCTAGTAAATTTTGACAGTAGGGACTAAATGTTCCAATTTTCTATGAATTTGAAAGATTACCTGAGGCACAACCATGAAATGAGACAGTAATCAGAAATCTCCCCAAGGTTTCTCTTAGCCATGATTATAACATTATGAATAAGCACTGAATCATTATTACAGTTGAAATATATACGAGTTTATACTTCTCAAACTACTTTACATACAATATGTTCTTAATCCTCACAAATTTCCTTAACAAAGACAGAATAGTTCTTCTCTCAAAATGAAGTTACCACCTGAAAATAAGTACTTTCTAAAGCGAAAGTCAGCATACCAAGCCCAGAAAACAATCATTATTACTAATTTTCAGATAAAGATACTAACACACATTGGTTTGCATTACAAGCCATAAGCCCAGGGTGACACAGCCATTTAAAATGACAGTCAGGGGGCGCCTGGGTGGCTCAGTCGGTTAAGCGTCCGACTTCGGCTCAGGTCATGATCTCGCGGTCCGTGGGTTCGAGCCCCACGTCAGGCTCTGTGCTGACTGCTCAGAGCCTGGAGCCTGTTTCAGATTCTGTGTCTCCCTCTCTCTCTGCCCCTCCCCCATTCATGCTCTGTCTCTCTCTGTCTCAAAAATAAATAAACTTTAAAAAAAAATAAAAAATAAAATAAAATGACAGTCAGAACTAGAGTGACTCTGATTAGGTACTATTTCTACTCTATCACTCTGCGAAGGACCCAAAAACTCACAGAAGTTTAAAAACTAGAAAAAGGAAAATACTGTAGTTTCAGAGAATGCTAACGGTTTTATCAAGCACTATCACAGATCATGCTACTGCTCTGTCACCAAAGTGCAAATCTTTCAATACCTGCACAGAAAATTAATTTCCTGACTTCATAGTAATTCACCTATTCCCTGATTATTTTATTACTCCAATCCAGCATTTTTAGTGGCGATTATATGATTAAAATGTTGACATTATGGTTTTAGACTCCTATTTCTATACATTAAAGATCAATAATCTACCAACAGTGCCCCTCTCCCCCTCCTATCCCCTTTATTTTTAAATTGAAAATATAAATCTAATAAAAAGAGTGAAACAAGAAAATACACAAATATTTTCTCTAAACTTCATTCCCTAGGAGGGCAGGAGCTACATTATGAGTTTAATGTAATTTCTACATAGCTATTCTCTAACAGTGACTCACAAAGGTTTCTTAATGAATGTAACTCCCAGTCATCTTATAGGCTAGATGCAATGGGGATGTGTATAATTTGCATTTACATAGAACCCTGGACACAAGGATATCAAAGCAATATTTTAAATTTTTTTTAAGCTTTTTTTTTGAGAGATAGAGCATGCGTGCATATGCACACATGCACACACACACACATACACACACACATACATGAGCAAGGAAGGGGCAGAGAGAGAGAGGGAGAGAGAGAGAATCGCAAGCAGGCTCCATGCTGTCAGCACAGAGCCCTATGGGGAGCTCAATACCCTGGACCACCAGGTCATGACCTGAGCCAAAATCAGGAGCCAAATGCTCAACCAAATGAACCGTTCAGGTGCCTCCCAAAGCAATTTAAAAGTCCAGTTTATGATAAATTACACCACCAAGATATAGCTAAAATATACACAGGATAGGACTTAGGTTAAAATAACTAAATAAATAAATTAAATAATAGCACTTTATTTTGTTCAGTGTTTTCAAGGTTACAAAGTATTTTTTCGTACATTATCTCATTAAACACTGACAACTTTGAAGCAGAACTGGGATTGTTATTCTTATCTTAAAGATGAGGCAACAAAGTCACACAACAGGTGAGTTTGTCCAAAGCCAAATTCTTATGACTTCTGAATTTCACTACGGGATATTCCTTAATGATCCAGTTAAGCCTGTTTTAACACAATACAAATCTGAATATCTGCAACATAACTTTTGTTCCTAATCAAGAATTCGATGATATCTACCCATATGGTGATACACTCATAAGTATTTGAGCAATGACTTTGTAAATATCATCGTGAGATACTAAAAAGAGTTCACTGATGATAATGTATAGACTCATAATCACTGCTTGTAATTTAGTATACAGGTATGCCTTGAGTAGAAGGAAGGAGGTGAGGGCAGTGAAAGGAGACAGATACACTAATGCATAATGAGGTATAAAAAGTACAATAAAACAAGTTTCATGAAGGAAGTAATGATATAGTGATATAGTAATGATATAATGAAGAAAGAGAACACTGAGTTGCAACATTTATGAACGACTTAAGAGAAAGGTGGTATTTGATCTAGATCTTGAATGACAAACAAGCTTCTAGTTCAAGATGATGGTGCATTAAACATACATGGTAACCTCCCCACTCAAAACAAATGGAAATCACAATGATGAAGTGCCAGTCACTAAATTCATAAGAAGGTTAAGAAATGAAAGGTGAAAAAATGGTGGGCCAAACAAAAGGAATAAACTAGAGCAAGCATGTAAATGAGAGCTAGAGAGAAGTCTACAAAAAAATGTAGAATCTGTCTTCCTCCCATCCCACAAAGCCATGGTGAGACTACACTTGGGCTGAGTGGCAACGGGCAGAAATCAGGCAATGTATTTTAAGAACCGTACTAGAACAGCTGTTCAAGTATCACCCTCTCACACCTCCCTTTACCCTTGCAATTTTATCTCCAAGTGAAAAACAGAGAAACTGTTCTCTTCGAAGATCCAGAACTGTGTCTGTCCCAGTCTCAGTGTCAATGCCCCTAGAATAAAGCCCTGTTATTGCAGTGTTGAGTGAAGGACCAAGGCTGCCTCCCTTTTGGAACCCTCACAGGTGCCCTACAGTGAAGTCTACCAGGGATGCTCCACCATGCATCTCCCTACCCCCAACATTCAGGTTACAGCAGGCAGGCAACAGGTCTACACTTAGAGAAAATAAACACCAACTACCTATATAAAGCAGCTTGGTACTCAATTCCAAGCTAGAAACAATCAAGACAGGCACTGGAGGAAAGATACACATAAGAGAAAAACACAGAGGAACAAACAGAACGGATCCAAAGGATAATGAGATATCCAAGCAACAGATATAACAAGTTAAAAGAAGATTCCAATTAACATCCCGTTAGTATCTCCTGAATTCTCATTATTAATAAAAGAAGAGGTTGCTAATGAAAAAAATGGGAGCTGAGAACAAAAAAGAATTATTAGGAATTTAAAACAGGGCTACCAAAAAAAAAACAACAACAAAAAAGATGAAAGCAAAGGTCAAGAAAGTATCCCAGATGTAGCAGTTCTGATAATACTGATCCCATCTTTGGCTCCATCTAGTTCATGCGACGACTTCTCTCGTGTTTCAAGCCTCTCAGAGGTTAACGTATGCCCTGACCAGAATGTGGAAAGGCTTGTTCTGATCTTCCTTAAAGTTGTTCAGACAACTAGTAGAGATAGCAGAGTTTCTTCCCCTCTCTCGACCTCTGGCACACAGATGGCTCCATGAGGTCTGCTAAATGTTAAACACTTTGACCTCCTACAATGACCTCTGCCTAAACCCTCACTCTACAAAATCTGTGGATTAAGGTCCAGACTTTGTGGAGAATAGCTAAGCACTGGATTGTCATCAGCCTGAAACCCTGTCAGTGAGTTACGCTGAACAAAACTGTGTAGAAGGTATGGAGTGGCTTGCTTTGTTTTTCCATCTCAAAGTGCCTTCTCAGTTTAGGGGATACTTTACTGTCTCTAGTCTACTTTCTAACACCCATATGGTCTGGAAAGGCATCCACTAAAATGTTAACTATGATTATGTACATCCAGAAGGTACAAGTAGAAGGTCAGGAAGAACAGTTACTTTCTCAACATTCTACTCTGTAAATACTCTACCAACGCTTATAGGATGCATAGATTTCCTTCTTTTTTTTTTTAATTTTTTAAACATTTTTATTCACTTTTTGAGAGACAGAGAGAGACAGAGGGTGTGAGCAGGGGAGAGAGGCAGAGAGAGATAGACACACAGAATCCAAAGCAGGCTCTAGGCTCTGAGCTGTCAGCACAGAACCTGACGCAGGGCTTGAGCCCACAAACTGTGACATCATGACCTGAGTTGGTCAGATGTTTAACTGACTGAGCCACCCAGGCGCCCCTGCATATATTTCCTTTTAATAAAACTAGAAACTACCTGTATTTCATAAACACTAAACTTAAGGATTAAGAAAAAAAATGTTCATTTAAAAATACTGAGCTATTTAAATATTACCTCATTTTTTGTTTAGCTTTTTCAAAACTTTCCAAATTTTGAAGAACATGCCTTTCTGGCCATTCCAGGGGATTGGTTTCCATTAGACTTGAAGAACCAGGTTCCACGGAACTGATGTCTAAAGCAAAAGAAACATACATAAGTACTGAAAGTGATTAACATATTAAATTTTGTTATATAAAAATGCATACATGTAGATCCATCCATCCATCCATGTGCATGTGTACATGTATATATATAAAGCCATGTTGGGTTAATTGCATAGTACTTATCTCAGGCATTCATTAAGGATATCTCTGATGGCCCAAGCAAAATGCCATTGAAAAGTTTTTGGGGGGCGCCTGGGTGGCTCAGTCAGTTAAACGTACTACTTCAGCTCAGGTCATGATCTTACAGTTCATGAGTTCAAGCCCCGCATCCAGTTCTGTGCTGACAGCTCAGAGCCTGGAGCCTGTTTGCATTCTGTGTCTCCCTCTCTCTGCGCCTCCCCACCCCCCACTTCCTGTTTGTCTCTCAAAAATAAAATAAACATTAAAAAAAAAGTTTTTTGGAAATGAAAAAAAAAAACCACTGTTAAGCTTTGCCTACTTTACTGTTTCCTCATAAGAAAAGTTATGCACTAGGGGGACCTGGGTGGCTCAGTCCGTTGACATCGACTCTTGGTTTCATCTCAGGTCATGATCTCACAGATCCCTGGGTTTGACATCAGGCTCTGCAATAGCAGTGCAAAGCCTACTTGGGATTCTCTGTCTCCCTCTCACTGTGTCCTTTCCCCACTCACCCGTGTCTCTGTCTCTCCCAAAATAAATAAACTTAAAAAAGAAAGAAAGAAAAAAGTTATGCCCTAGAATTCAGAAAACGAATTAGCACTATGAGGACTCCTGTGAATAAAAGCGTAACTTTGTTATTTTTTCGTGAAACTAAATGAAAAGGAGGCAACTGTATGGAGAATATACTGGATATACTATGTGATTTTCATTCCAGGAACAGGAATTAATAGCATTATTTGGAAAATTTCATATCTTGAAAAGAGATTACTTCATTCTCAAAAGTATGATAATATAGTAAATAACATATGATGTTCTCAGATAAAGGTTACCTTAGAAAGAATTCTCACTTATCCATTAACGTAAGATGCCTTAACATATACATCTTCAAGTAAATCGCTAACATTAAGTGTTATTTCACAGCTAGTAAAATATTTTATGTAAGAGTGTGCTTATCTTTCTAGTTACTATGTTACAATGAACGAACACAGAGATTGCTAAAACATCACAATTCTCATCAAAAACCTAAAGAGACAGCTTCCATTCAAATGATAAATTATTAGTACATCAAAACTATTTAACACTGGAAAAATTACTAACTGTACTACTTTTGGGATTCCCAAACTATCTTATTTAAAAAAATTTTTTTGAACTATTACACACTGTTCTAATAAATTAACTGAAAATTAATGGACATCAGTTGTTTGACGAACCATCAGCTCTGACAAAAATACCCATTTTATACTTTGGGGGTCTTACAAAACGATGATTTAGTAAAGGAGTTTTTACATACGAGAAAGAAAAAAAATAAACATAAATGAAAATAGAAGCCAATTACATGTTCTTTTCCCTTTATTTATTAAGCTATTTAACCTTGAACATTTTAAAATATCTTTAATTACTACAGTGGATGGTTCCCAGCAAACACCATCCAAAAATACCACTTCTCATTTCTTAAGGGTACTGAAATATTTTACACAGCAGTAGCTTTATAATGAAATAATCTACTTTTTAATGTTGACATGGCTTTTCACTAAAAGTATAAAGAAAATATCATTAGCAGATCTGAACATTTACACGCTGAGTTCACAAAAGAATACAAGAATGTTAAATAAAAGTAAACATTATTGTTCCTAAATATTACAATATAATTAATTGTTCACTCCAGCTACACAATTTACATAAATATAAATGACAGAGGCTAAACAAACATTCAGATGCACTTTTGGGGAATAATCTAATTGAATTCTTACAGTAAAATAAGACACAATATTTTATCTTTGTGGCAGTCAGGACACCAGGACATGCTGACAACCAAAAAGCACAAAAAGGGCCTCCGAGAAACCAAGAACATTGCTTCTTTAAAAAAAAAGTGTTTTACTTTACAGGAGAAAAAAAGAAATAAAAGTGATTCTATAGGGAAATAGGGATTCAAAACCTTCCCTACACATATCACAGCAAACAAAAAGGAAATAATACTGCAGATGATAATATGTGGATAGTAATATAGGCCATTATAACCTGACATACATAAATATGAATAGATCACAAAGAAAAGGTTATATTGTAATTGGCATATTCTGTTTAATAAAGCAAGAATTATAAACACATACTAGGAGATTCTTACTAAAATATTTGAAATAATAAAACTGTGATCTTATAAAATTACCTAGAAAACCCATTTATACAGTGTGTTTATGTCCCCAGTGGTCTGAGGTGAAGGAGACAGTTACTGCATTTTGGAGTTCAGATATCACATTTGGCACTGTAAGTTTTTAGCAACTCTGTGGCAATGATTATATAAAATGGTTAGATCAAGACATTTTCTCCATGCTGATTTTTATTTGTTATATATGCTAGAGATTTTATAAAAAAAAAAAAAAA